TGATGTAAGGTCACGGGATGCGTATGGTTTCCAGGGGTGGCAGGTTCACTGGTGGAGGCTCTGAGGCTTGGTGTACACAGTTTCAATGCCCAAATCAAGAACATTTTCCAAAGTAACAGTGGAGGAGGGAGGTATGTGCATGCTCTTGCTTACAATACAAAAGGAGGCACCGAATCCATCCAAGAGGAAGTGACTGCGGTGGTTACAGAGCTGGCCTCAGGGTTGGGAGAACCCAACTTCAATCCCATCTCTGAAACATGCCTCAACCTCTCAGCTCCACAGCAATCCAGAATGAATGAATGAGTGAATGAATGAATGAATGAGTGAGTGAGTGAGTGAATGAATGAATGAGTGAATGTGCATTTATTTAGTACTTACTCTGCACCTGGCTTTGTGCCAAGTGCTGGGATACAAATACAAAAGACAGATAGTCTCTGAGCTTAAGGAGCTTAAGCTCTACAAGACTTCCCATAGCAGAACAGTGGCTGACCTTACACTGCTCCGAGTTTCACATTGATGAAATCACAGGTCTAGACCGCACAAAAAAGTGCCCCCCTAGAGAGGGTCAAACAATCAGCTACTGGCATTTTGAGGGAGGAAAAGCTTCTCCGGAAGCAGCGAGGGGACTCCACCTGACTCCAGGGGACTGGTGTCAAGGAGACCTGAGTTCCAGGAAAGTCTCTGAATTGCTAGATGCCTCTGTTTCCTCAACTGTAAAATGGGGATAATAACAGGGTGGTTATGCAAATCAAGTGTGATGTTTTTCCAAAGTGCTTAGGGCAGTACCTGGCACTCACTGGTGTTGAATAACTGTCTGTTTCCTTCCTGTCTAAGTTACTGGGCAAGGATTTCTAGAGAGGGTGATGGTTTAGACAGGCTTTAAGGGAAGTGTAGTAAATAGCTGGAGACAGAAGGACAGGGATGAGGAGAGACTTTGCAAGTACAGGAAATTAAGTGAATAAAGGCACGAAAATCCAGCCCAAATTGGGGAGAGGGTCATCAAGCAGTCGTGGACATCAGCTCCTTTTTGAAATGCAAGGAAGTAACATAGATCTCAGGATAGATGAAATTAATCTGCCCAGCCAAAATCAATACCAAAAGGCAGGGGGAAAATCAGATAAATCTGAAAACAGGCATATAATTGCTTCTCTTCACACCTTCTGTCACCAGCTGAACACTTCAGGCCTGGGTTCCAGGTTTGCGCTGCTCCCAGTTCACTTCAAAGCACATGACAGCAGGAGCTAAACATGGCATATTTGGGAACAATATCGAGACAAAACAGACCCACGAGAGGGGGATGTTCCTGGGACCATCTGCCTGGAAAAGTTTGTGCTGGAGAAAGAAAGAGCAGGAGAGGGTCGGTCCAACTATCCTTCCTGAGGGTGCACCTGGAGCTGTCCAGGGTCCCACTGGGAGCTCTTCAACACAGGCTCAGACACTCTGAGCCCAGGCAAGAGTCAGTGACCTCTCTCCCTGAGAACACTTTCCTGACACCAATGTTATTATTAATTTTAAAAATAATAATAATAATAATAGCTCATATTTATTCCACCTTAAATGCTCAGCTCATTTACTCTGTGCACAGCCCTAAGCTAGGGACTGAGAACATGAAGCCCAAAGTGGAACACTCCCTGCTGTCGAGCAGCTGACACTTTCCTGGGGGGTGGGGGTGCAATTAGACAATTAGACAATTTGAATCCACCACTGACAATAACAGCCACAATGTAAAAGGAACAGACCACAACAAAGCAATGAAAATGGAAGATGATGAGGTTAAAGTGTCAAGCTTAACCTTCAAAAAAAGATACAAGAAGTGGTACCCCTGTCCAAGCCCCCTATCAGTTCTTTGGAGAAGTGTAGATCATGAGAACAGAACCCTGAATTGAATATCAGACTTGTTTCAATATGTTGGTCAGTTTTGCTGAACTATGTTTTCCTTCTTTATTGAAAAGGATCGATTTCTGGGAGAGGGCAAGGCGGGACAAGAAATATTTATTAAGCCTGTAGTGTATGCCAGACACTGATGTAAATGCTAAGGATACAAGTGGAAAGAAGTCCCTGCCCTGGAGGAGCTTACACTCTACTGGGGGAAGATAATACACAAAAGGAAACTGAAGGCTGACCTGGGTCCCTTCTCAAAATAGAGGCTCCAGGAAGAACTTATCGATGGGAGAGAGCCACAGCATGGCAATGGAAGGCTACAGGGTGAGAAGGTTGAGGAGATCTATGGTTGTTTTCAGCTGAAGAAGCCCCAGGAGCTGAGGCAGTAAGGCACAGTGATGGAAGTCAGAAGCAAAGCCCAGAGGGGCAGATAAAATTATGGTGGGAAATAGAGGTGATTTAAAAACAAGATATCAATAAGATTTATTTAAATCAACAAAAAAAATTCCTGCCATTGGGCCCAAAGGAGTGGGGTATTCCATTTTCTCCCTCTCCCTAAAAGGCCCCTTTCAAAACTACATGTATGCCTATGAACCTGGTTCAGTCCTGGGCAAGCCTAACCACCTGAAAGAAGGGTCAGACTCCTTTTCTCATACTCTTTGGTTTGTTGCACTCAAATCCTGACACCCCAGGGAAGAATTACCCAAGATTTAGGTCTGGCTCATGTCCAGGATCTCCCCAAAGGGAAAGGAGACTATAAAGACACTCAGTGTTACCAGCAGATTGAGGGATGGGACAGCTATTTATTCCCTGCACATAAAAGACTCTCAAACAGCAGCATTAACAAAGACTTAAAAGTAAGCAGCAATAATAACTACAGTTGTATTCTCCCGTGAAGCTGAGACTTAAAACAATCAAAACATAAATCATTTGGTGGGATTGCTGAATAGATATTTTACATTTCATTTCAGCTCTGCCCTGTGCAAACAATTTTCTACAGGTCTATGTCTTCTGGCATGCCAGGGCAAGGCTTGGAATCATTTTCTTGTCTGTGGTCATCTTCTCCAATGAAGAAACCCCCTCTTACTTCAAGTTAGGTCCAATCGCAGGTCTCCTGACCATCCAAGCCCACAAGGCTGCCATCTGGATGTGTCTTTTGGTCACAGTTTGGTCACTTACAATCATGCAAAGAAACCCAAAACAGAAGAGATGACCAGAGCCCCCAGTTCAGACTCAGTTAGCTTCCGCAAGGGTGTGATTACTGGGCTCCTGGAGCCGAGGGAAATGCAGCTGTCTTCTCCCCTCATTGCTACAGGGATTGACTCAGGTTGTTGCTGCATGATGCGCATTTTAGAGGCATTCTCTTTTAGGGACTGGGTGAGCCAGCAGCTCTTTCTGCTAAGTAGCCAATAAAGGGATTTTTTCATCATCTCTGAGCACCCGAGTCCTTCCGTGTTGAGGCACAATTGGCCATTCAGAGAGAGGAGGGCAGTGCATGATTCCTACTGTACTCAGACAAGCAAATATAAGATAATTGGAGTAAGAAGAAAGAACTAAAAACTGGGGATGGGGAATATCGGAAAAGCCTTCTGTGGGAGGTTATTACTATCATCATTATTATTAACAACAACCACAGCAATAGCTGACATTTAGATAGTACTCTCAAATTGGCAAAGCCCTTTACAAATATCCCATTTGCTCCTCACAAACCCCCAGGAGGTTGATGGTCTTGTTATTCCCATTGTACAAATGATGGAAACTGATGCTGACAAGGTTAAACGACTTGCCCAGCTATCTGACCTTATCTAAGGTCAGATTTGAACTCAGGTCTTCCTGACTCCAGGTCCAATGCTCTATCCACTGTGCCCCCTCACTGCCCTAGGCAGCCCCTGAGCTTGACCTTTAAGGAAGCTATGTCTTCTAAGAGGTAGAAGTGAGGAGAGACCTTCCAGGTGTAGGAGACAAAAGCAAGGAGATGGGAGATAAAAATTAAATTTGGCAAACAGCCAGTCAGAAGGCAAATTTGACAGGAACACGGAGAACAGGAAAAGGAGGCAATGGGGACCCAGTCTAAAGTGGGGACCAGTCAGGCCCTTCTTTCTGTGCTCTGGGACATCTCCACATTGCTCCCCAAATGCCAAGTTTAGCTCCAGCCATCATGCTCCCCATCCCCAGATACCGCCAATGTCAGGGAGATGCCAGGGGAGAACAGTAGCTGGTGGGGTCTGCCAATCTGGAAAGGCTTTGCCTGTGGGCCTGAAGACACATGTATCTCTTCTCCAAGGTCCAGCCTGGCACAGTACAAAGATTCAGCCTGGAGGTGCTGTCAGGGAAAGGGTTTTTGGCCTCGGCAACTCTGAAGACCACGTACAGATGTGGACTGGGAGGAAGGAAGGGCTGACCATGTTAATGAGTTACAGAACATTGCAAAGAGAGAAAGATTTGTTTCATCATAATAAGCTTTCTAGTCATGGTTTCATTTGATAGTCACAATGTCCTTGTGGTCTTCAGACTCATTGACTCAACCCAATCCATGTCAGAAAAGTACACCAGACAGGAAGGTGGTTATCAGCCACCACTGGCTGGGAACCTGCAGTGAGTGGGAGCACACCCTTCCGTTCCTCTTTGGGATGGCTCCCATTGACCCACTCTTGTGGAAAACAAGCTGCTTCTTTCAACCAACCAGTCAAGAGAAAGAGAGAAGTTGAGAAGGGTTTGGGGAGTAAGATAATATTTCTGTCTTGAAGGTGTTGAGGTAGAGATGTCTATGGGCTGTCCAGTTTGAAAGAGTTGTCTAAAGAGTAATGAGATGAAAAACCCTTATCTCATTCAGGCCTTAAATCAGCTCTAAGACATGACCATCACAGGTATTATCACTCTTACTTTACAGATGGGGAAACTGAGGCTCAGAAAGGTTAAATGAATTGCCTGCGATCACACAGTGAGGGTTGAGATTTAAACCTGGGTTCTCTAGACTCCAGGTCCAGCACTTTGTTCATACTAGAACCCTGGAGGGTGCCCGGGCTCTAGAGCTAACTGAAATTTTGCTAGATATGTGGCCCTGGTTGCTTTGCCTCTGATTTGAGGCTATCTTATCTGTCCCTTGAGAACAGCAGTCCTTGGCCTCTCCACTTCAGGGGAGTATTGATAGGCTCTGAAAACATCTGTGGTCCTCTGGTCCTCGACCCATGAGTGGAGCAATCGGTTGGTGTTGGCTGTTATTCCAACTTGCGAAGCGGACAATTGAGCTGGTGTGCTTCAGGAACCTTGCCACGGTGACTGCCTTCAAATAAAAAACAAAGTAAGGGGTTGATGGAGAAACCAGGAGTTAAATCCATGATTTCCCCCCCCCCCTCCCCAACACACACACTCCAGTAATCCAAACCGAGACATAAACTCACCTCTATGATTTATACACAGATATGGACCAGAACCACATGAGATGGGGAAGTGGGGGCTGCTCACCTTCTGGCCCTGAGGAAAGAACTCCCACAAATCCACCCAAGTGGGGCCAGGGTCCTTGCTCAGGTCCCTCTCCCTACAGGATGCAACCTGGGCTCTGGACCCAGGCTTCCAGCTTCCAAGACTCTGGACCTCTGCAGCCTTCCTCCAAGGTACTGCCGGCCTCTCCCTGCCTCTGTGACTTCTAGGCACTTGATCTTTGACCTGCTGGCACCGATGGCTCTTCCCAGGCTTCTCCCACACCAGCTGTTGCCACCCACGGCTAAGCAGAACCAAAGTCATCCTTCATCCCAGTAAGTGTGTGCTGACATTTCCACAGCAGCCGCTGCTCACTCCTCTGGGCAGCCACTAAGCTCACCTTCACATTTGCCAGGCCATGTGTATATTTTTCTTCTCTGGGATTGAAAATAATTTCTTTAAACAAATTCTAACTGGGATTCCTTTCCTCTTTCTATTTAGAAAAGCTTGTGTTACAAAACAGTCCCTGAAGAGGATAAATTGTGGGAACCTGGTGGGAAATAGGGATTTCTGTCTTCATATAAATAGAGGGAGTTTGTCTGCCTTTTGAAGGCTTCCACAGCTTTTCAAGTGGTTTGAGCCAGATTCTTAGAGGGTTCTTTGCGTGGCCAGATGGAATGTTTAGTGGACAATGAGGTATTTTTCTTATTTTTAAAATAAATTTTTATTGATATTTTCTGTTTCTTATAGCACCATAGTCTCCTATGAATGTACCTCCTCCCCACCACCATCTTCCCCTCCACCCCTGCCAAGAACCATCCCATAGGACAAATAGTATTTTGGGGAAAGGAAAAAAAAAACAGCACATGTGATCGATCCATTGAAAAAGTCCAAATCCTGTGCCATTGGTAACACCTCCCACCTCTGTGAAGCTGTTGGTTAGGTGAGTCTTCTGACATCTCCTCACTCAAATGCTGCTCAATCTTTATAATTTTGTCATTTAATTTTTATTTTTCACTGTGTCATTGTTCTTGGTTCTACTGACTTTCCTCTGCATCTGTTCATATGCATTTTCACAGGTTTCTCTGTAATCATCACATGCATAATTTCTTATAGCACAGAAATATTCCGTTACATTTGCATGCCATAATTTGTTCGGTCATTCCCCAATCGATGGGCATCAACTTTGTTTCCAATTCTTGGCTATCATAAAACATGATGCAATAAATATTTTGTAGTATGTGGAGACTTTTTGTCTTATTGATGGCTTCCTTTACCACAGTGCCAGGCACACAGCAGGCATTTATTAGATGTTTATTAATTGAAAAGCCAAGCAATGGAGTCTGGTTCAAAAGTTATGGATAGTTTCATCACTTTTATTTGCCTGAGTCCAAATTACTTTCCAAAATGGTTCTACCGGTTTCCAATTCCACCAACACTATGTTAGTATGACTTATCTGCCCACAACCTAACACTGTCACCATTTTGGGTAATTTTGGCCAATCTGCAGGGTATGAGGTAAAACGTCAGGCTTGTTCTGATTTGCATTTCTCTCAGTGATTTGGAGCATTTTTTTCATGTCATTATGAATATTTTGTAATTCTTTTAAGAAGTGTTTGTTGATATCCTTTGACCATTTATGTATTGGGAAATGGCTATTAGTCTTATATACATTTATTAATTGTTTATATATCAGGGATGTCAAACACTTATCAGAAAAATTGAATACAATATTTTTTCCCATTTGACCATTTCCTTTCTCATCTTTGATGCGTTAATATTGTCTGTACCAAAGCTTTTCAGTGTCAGGGAACCAAAGTTACGTTTTCTCTTTTCTAATTGCCTCTATCTCCTATTTGGTTAAGAATACATCTCTTATCCATAACTGTGAAAACTGTATGATCTACTTTTCTTCTATTTTTTTCACACTGTGATCTTTAATATTAAAGTCCTACATACAGTTAGAAAATATTGTGGAGTGTGGGGTAAGGTATTGGTCTAAATCTAATTTTTGCCAGACTGTTTCCAGTTTTCCCAGAATTTTTACCAAATAGGGAATATTTCCATAGACAATTTATGTTTTCCACTTTATCAAACACTGAGTAATAGAGTTCTATTATTTTTTCATCTGCCTTGTCTAGTCTATTTCTTTCTATTCTTTGACCAACGTCAGATGGTTTTGATGAGTGCTGTTTTAGGATATAGTCTGAGGTCTAGTTACTTATTTTCATCATTTCCTTTGATATTCTAGATTTTTTTTGTTTTATCCATCAAATTTTGTTATTATTTTATCAAGTTTTGTAAAGTATTTGTAATTGTTGTTGAGCCATTTTCAGTAATGTCAGACTCTTCATGACCCCATTTGGGGTTTTCCTGGCAAAGATACTGAAATGATTTGCTGTTTCCTTCTCCAACTCATTTTACAACTGAGGAAATTGAGGCAGTCAGGATTGAGTGACTTGCCGAAGATCACACAGCTAGTAAGTGTCAGAAGCCAGATTTGAACTCAGGAAGATGAGTGTTCCTGATTCCAGGCCTGGATGTCAAATCTGATTGGCATAGCATTAAAAGTATAAATTAATTTGGGTAGTATTGCCATTTTAATTATTGGCGCTGCTCTCCATTTTATAATTTTATAATTGAATTAATACAAGTGTTTTGTGTGCTTTGGGAGGTTGATATCCAGATAGTTTATGGATTTTGTATGTATTTGGAATGAGATTTCGCTTTCTATTATTGTTTCTTGTATTTTATTATTATATAGAATTGCTATTGATTTTTGAAGATTTATTTTGTAGCGTGCAACTTTGCTTAAGCTATGTTTCATTTAGTACCTTTGTTGATTCCCCAAAGTTTTCCAAGTAAGTCATCCGTCAGCGAACAGTCTTAGTTCCTCTTCACCCATCTTGTTATCGCCAGAATTCCCAGCACTCTATCAAGCAATAGGGGGAGAGAGGCCATCCTCGTCTTGCTCCCTTAGGCAGTGGAAAAGGTTCTAGTGCATCTCCATTGCATGTGATGCTTGGCTTTGGTTTTAGGCGGCTGCTTTTGGGGATAAAATTTTTTTAAGTTCCTCTGCGCCTGTACTCCATAGGGTTTTTATCATAAAAGAATGTCGTACTTTGTCAAAGGCTTTTTCTGCTTCTATTGAAGTGATCACACGGCTCGGAATGTTTTGGGTTTGAACATGATTAATTATGTCAATAGTTTTGCTGATGTTGAACCATCCTTGCGTCGCCGGTATAAATCCGCCTTGATCATAATCAATGATTTCTTGGATAAATCACCGTAGTTAATAAGATTTTGTGTAAAATTTTTAAGCCAGTGTTCATTAACGATATTGGCCTATAGCTTTCTTTCTGGGTTTAATCTTTCCCTGCAATGACATTTTTTTGGGAAACTTCTGAAATTATAGTAATAATCTCAAGTCAATTCAATGAACATTTATTAAGTACTTTCTTTGTGCCAGGAATTGTGCCAAGAGATTATATTTCTGTGAAACATCAATTCCTTTAAAAGGCTTCCATGACTGTGATTTCCATAGACTTGATATTTACAGAAATCTTTTACCCACATGATCTCATTTTGTCCTCACAACTACCTTTTGGCATAGGTACTTATATTAGGCCCATTTTATAGATGGGCAAACCAAGGCACGCAGCAATTAGGCAACTTGCCCATGGAAGAGGGACTTGATCTGAGCCCTGAAGGTAGTGTATCCACTGGGGGGGAAGGGGAGAAAGCAAAGAACAAGGTGATCAAAGGAACAGGTACTAGAATTTAACTCAATTTGACAAAGCTCCGTGAAGCCTGCCCTTTAGGCCAAGAGAGGGGGAGGCAGAGATGAGGAAGACACAGGCCATCCTCAAGGAGAACACCACCTGGTTACACATCACTGTAACATGTGGCAGAGCACAGTGAGTGAGAGGGTAGAGACCACGCTCTAGGAGGGGCGAGAAAAGGTCCAGAGAGGGAAGGAAGACACTGGATTTAGAATCAGGGGTCTGGGTGCGAATCCAGTGGTCTCAGCCGCTTTCTTGCTTGTGTGTCCTGGGGCAAATCATTTAAGTTACTGGGCCTTTTCCTCATCAGTAGAATGAGGGGAATGGCCACTAAGTTTCCTCCTCACTCTAAAGCAATGGTTCTATGATCAAACATCCTAATTATTGAAGTGATCGGAAAATGGAATGGGCTGCCTTGAGAGGTAGTGAGCTCTCCCATCATCGGATGCCTCCAAACAGAGACTGGATGTGCATTTGCATGTTGGGGGGCGTGACCTTTTGGGAGGCCTTAGTACTCGTGTGCTCAAGGAAGTCATGTCTGACTCCCAAATTCTATAATTTGGTGCTGTCTACCAGGGAGATCAAGAAAGGCTTCCTGGAGGTGGTGGGCTGAGGGCTTAGAGCTCTGAGTTTACCATCCAGGGCTCTCCTAAATCTGGCAGCGCCTTCTTTTGCAGACTCGTATCCACAATCCTCCTTCATGTGCTCCACACTTCAGCCTGCTCTGCCTCCTTGTTCCTCCACTCCATTTCCCTCTTCGTGTCTGCACAGGCTGCCCATCATGCCTAGAATACCCTCTTAAGATCCCAGGTTTAGAGCTGGAAGGGATCTTAGAAGGCCAGTGTGTCCAACCCTTTGTTTTACAGCTGAGGAAACTGAGGCAGGCAGAGGGGGAATGATTTGCCCAAGGTCACCCAATTAGTGTCTGAAGCAGGATTTGAAACCAGGTCTTCTGACTCCAAATCCGGGCCTCTTTCTACAGTCTGATACAAGATACACATGGAATGTGAGGCAGGAAAAGGAGGTAGGGCCAGATTGTAGAGGGCCTTGAATACCAGAACGAAAGTTTTAGCTTTTCCAGTGGCCCATATTTAGGGACAGTGAAATGCAAGATCAGAGCAGAGTATGAACACTGGAGAGGAGGAGACCCAGAAAGAATGAAACCAACATGGGATTTGTGAATGAGAGAGCAGCCTAGAGTTGTAAGGAAAGCACCGGATTTGAAATCACAAGGCCTGCGTGCAAATCCAGACTCTCCCACTTGCTACGCAGGTGACCGCAGACAAGTCTCTAGTCCAGCGTCTCCTCATCGGTAACTCGAGGGAGCTGGACCGGATGGCCTCTGAGGGTCTGTCTGGCTCTCGGCCTATGACCCTGCTCACTCTCCAGTCTGGGTCTGGCCGGGATGAACGTCTCAGGAGGCAGCTCCGGGCTCCCGCCGGCATCACTTTGGTGGGGGCATCAGACTGGTCGGTTGGTCCTGTCCCGTCTTGTTTACTTCCCCACCTCCAAGGCAGAGCAGGAAGGCTGCTTAGGTAGCATGAAACGATGTGTCTGAAGCGCACTGGTGCTGCTGCCAGAGAGAGATCTCAGGGCCAAGAAAGAGCACAAGCAGGCTCCAGGGAGGGCACGGTATGGCCGCAGCAGGGCTGAGCGCCAGGGTCAGTCTGGTTGACACCCCAAGCTCTGTCCATCCCGGGCCCTGCTCTGCTCCGGAGACGTGACTCCTCAGCTCAAGGACTTCCAGGGGCGGCCTATGGCCTCCAGGAGATAAGATGCTCGCCCCTCCATCACGATAGTCTCTTTCCAGACTCCCTCGGCACCCTCCCCCTCCGATGTGACAGGCCACTATCTGCCAGTCCTCCTCTATATTGTCCCATCTCTTATCTCCGAGCGTTTGCCCAGGCTGCCCCCGCCCGTGCCAGGCATGCTGCCCCTACTCACCTCACGAGCCTCCTTTTTTCCCAATTCTACCCCCAATTGTTCTCCTTCCCTGAACTACTTTGAATTTTCCCTGTCTACATGTTGTATCCGTCCATCTGTCCAGGCGTGGCTCCCCACCCTCCCACCCTGTGAGCTCCTCTGTGTCTGCGTCCTCAGCTTCTGGCACTGTGCCGGG